CTCGTTTTCTCGCTGACCTCAATCATAACATTTCTCGTCAAATAGCGTTCGACTGTATGGCAAGAGTTCGATCCAGTGCAGGTACCTGATGATATCACCTTTTTCCTACTATTAGAAAGTGATTGTCCCAGTTTATATTGAACTGGCATGATTAGAGATGGGAATTCAAATGTTCTTTCTCACTTATTCTCTTTTAATTAAGGTATTCGTCCCGTGCTGTTCCAAGGATCGTTTTATATGGAAAACACCACAGACCTGGAAATGGCTTCCATTGACGAAGACAAGGTATGTGTTTTTGATTGAATCGATCTCTTATCTAAGCAATCTTTTTGAGTTCAATTATTTTAGTCGTTTTTCGCTGAGTTGAAGCACGATGACAAACTAACGGATCAGAACGCTATTGTTCAAGTAGGCTTAATCTCGACTGAATATATCATAATTAGTGTTGAGATTCTTGCATTATTTTGCGCTATCTTTGCAGTGTGCAGTTCTTTTCACATCTGTGAGTGGTCAACGTCGCCTTCGGATTCTCAATATCTGCTTACCTGTCTCATCTGACTATAACCAGCTTTATAGAGTAGCTGATCAAGGCGCACTTGTGTCGTACTTGTTGAAGAATGGTGCTTGCTTTTCACATCTTCCCTCATCGAACTTTAGGAGTGCAAAGATGATACTTATTTTACAGCTGTTCAAGCGAATCGCGAAAAGGGCAACAAAGAAATGAAGGACCAAATTTTCCAGCGTTGTGCACAAATCCTTGCCACTTATAGGTGCAGATTTACTGCATATTTTAGTGTGTGATTCTTCATTCTTTCCTTTTTTCAGAGAAAAAGTTAGCGAGTCGGCTCCTCTGGGACAGCTCATACTTCCCGAAACGCTGAAACTCTTGCCACTCTTCGTCAATTCTATAGTTAAAAACGACGCAATTAATGGTGGTTAGCAATTAGCACTTTGTCTTATTTTATTTATTTATTTTTGAACATGCAGAAGGAAATATCAAATAGTGCCTAAACAAAACAAAATGATGTGGTATGTTGACAATAGATGAGCCGAATAACGAAAAGAGCTGCCTATGGTGAAGAAGAGTTACATAAAGCTCTCTTCTACAAGCGATCATAGTTTTATGAAACGATGCTCTCTTTGATCTTGATCTGCCACGCAGAATTTTTGGAGATTCACGAAGTTAAATAATATGTATGCTATAAAAGTCAAGTTCCTTCTTCTCTACTCAAATGAGCTAATGTTAAAAATTGTTTTTTTTT